TGGTAAACAAAGAACAGAAGAATTGATTCACTGTCTTCACTTTGAAAAAGATGGCATGAAGCAATAGTGAAGCAATTTTAATTGTGCCTGTGTAACACTTGCGATCAGTAAGATCATTTGTGTTCTGTTTTTAGGAATTGGGGGACTAAAGAGTACATAGAGCATTAGAAATGCAAAACATGACCGCATGTTCTCAGGATTTTGTCAGCGTTACATGAAAGAGCACTTGTGCTGGGATGCTCAGCTCTGAGGGTATTCTCTGTTCAGTGTGTATTTACAGAGATGTATGAATATTTGATTAATGAGTCATGGTCTCTGGAGAAATTTAATAACTGGACTGCTGTACAAAGCCAGCTCCTTAACTGTTAACACAGCTGCCAATAGTGTCACTGACACTGAAGCCCTTTCTGCATCTAATATATTCTGTGGAGTAAATTCCTTCGTTACAAGGGAATCCATGGGACACATTATTCAGTTATCTGGTTTGAACTGTTGCAGGCTCAATTTACAGGCCCTGATTTGTAAAGATTTTTCCAATGGAAACAAGCAGTGACACATGAGCCATGAAGCAGCGGTTTCACGAGGATGTGTTGTTACAAAAGCTAGTTAGAAAGTCAGGCCTGAAGAAGAGTTGCTTTAAAAGTTCTTGTGTGATAGGTAATAAACCAGGGGTTACTAAGGTTCGAATTGCTATTTTCATCAAATAGTTTTATAATGTAAGAGCATATTCAATACCCAGGTGAAATCAAAGCCATCAAAGCTATTGGTTGTGTGTGTGCTTTATGTTTGTAGAATCCGGTTTATTAACGTTAAATGAACAATGGATGAAAATACTCATCTAAAGCAGATTGATCCAGCAAATCCTTACCACCTTAAAACTGTATTTGGTGGGAGTACTCAGGTGAGGGGAGGTTGTTCAGGGGTTTATGATTTGCAGGATGGGGCAGAGGTTTTCTCCCCTTCCCTCCATGAAGCTACACCAGAAGCATCCTTCATTTTTTGCTGAGCATCTTCCCAAGAATAATTCTCTCCTAATTTTATTATTTCTCCATTTTGATTCCTAATACCTGTGAAGAGATCAATTGCCACTGATGAAGTCAGGTGTGTATTTTAGTGGTGTTACTGCAGTTCAACTGCTTTAAATAATAGGGAGAAAAATGTCAGAAAAAGATAAATTTAGTGCAGAGGCTTTCACTGGAAGCTTTAACTGCAGGTTAGAATTATACATGCTATGCAGAATTTCCTGCAACACTTCTCCTTTGGGCCACAATGCATTACAGCAGACGTATAATGAAGCTGCTATAAAATCCTTGGTAATTAAGGGGGATTTGACAGTAATTGCAACAGTGAATCAACTTAATTATTACCTGCTTCAAAGAGAGCTAACCTGATGTTATAATCTAACCTTTCCTACTTCGAAAATGAGAGATTAAACAAGTATATGTAGCATTTAAGAATTAAATCTGTTGAGATAGAATGATATTAATATACTTTTCCTATACATTTTATATATGTGTGTGTGTATAGGTACAAAGCAGCTAAATGAGCAGCACCATAAGCTGACAGACTGCAGATGCACTGACTGTATGCATTCATAAAATAAACAGAACCCAGTCTGCATCGGAGGCGAGCCAGCATCTCTGGTGTTTGGAAGCACAGGGACCCATAGAAAGACCGTTGCTATAAACCTCTATGACACACACAAGCCTAGTTCCTTGAACAGCCTTGTAAAGGGGAGGTGATGAATGTGTTGTCTTCCCATGCTTGATTTTAAGCAAACAACTCTGAAATACATTTAGGGTAGGCTGTAAAGCTGCAAAAGGGAGAAGCTGCCTGAGGACTTCCCAGCCCTGCAGCACGCAGCCCTGATGTGGCTGCTGTTGTGATCCCTAAACCATGTATTGGAGCTTCCAGTGTTACACAGTGTAGAGCAGATTCTCCTTTGTGTGAAACTGGTTTGCTGTTTTTCAGTGGTACATGACTTGCCCTTGAACTTACAACGCTTCTTACAATGCCTTCCAATTTGAAACTGGGAGATAGGCTAAAGAGCTCCATGATTACAGAGCAGCCATGTCCAAACCTCTGGCTGCTTTCTTACCTTGCCTTCAGGCAGTCACCATAAACACCAAGGAGAAAGTAACTTAACAGAACACCGGTCTTGTCATTCCTAGATCAAGCCAGCTCTTTCACCTACTGCATCAGGGGTACACCCACTCAGGGTCTGCTGGCTGAGCCCATAAATACAAGCATCCCTTTTGCCTATGTCTTCAGAGATTTTGAGGTGTGTTACCTGAGAGTAGGGGGTGTCAGAGGGTCGCTGATCCAAACCTTTCTCAGAACTCTTCCCCAGTGTTGTACCTGGCTGGTACATGCAGTGCTATGTCCATAGCAGGTGCATTTCAGCAGTAGCATTCTGGAAGGTAAGAGGTGCAATAATAAAGCACTAGCTCTGAAAAAGTGGGCATCATCACTGTCACCATCATGAAAACTTGCCACAGCAACATTCACGTGAAGTTCATTTGCAAAGCTGACAAAATGAGCTTCAACTCTTGCTCTGAGGAGGGGTTTGACCATCCAAGAGAGGCACTGAGGGACTGACTTATGCATGCCCTCAGAATAAATTTGCAATGTTTGCTTCTTCTTGTTCTGCTGTGAAACAATAAATTAGGAAGACTTTGTGTTTGTTTTCTCGTGTTCTGGCCCATCACATGCTACTATTCATAACTAAAGTTTATTACCAGAGGCCTCAGCTCTCAGGGAGTTATCACGCTGACAATGTTGAATAAACAAATAGGTTAAAGATGTCACCTGCCATGGACATGTAAGTGAACTCTATGCAAGAGCAAAGTCTGAAACTGCATTAAGCCAAAGCCATCTTTAGGACACGTGTTCTTAGAAGATTACAGCTGTTGAATCTGCCTTAAAGTAAACTTGAAAGTCCGCCGGGACTTTGAATAGTGCTGTACAGTAAAAGTGGTAGAAAAAGCCAATTCAGCTTGGCAGTAATAAGAAAATCTCATTCTGTTGCTGGCCTTGTGATTGTAAATTAAGAATAAACAGCTAACTTGAAGGGGAAGGCAGGCTGTGAGTTCTCCTGAAGTATATATATATTCTCTTTAAATATATGTATATATTACATATATATAATATATATGTGTATGTATATATATGGTCTTTATATATATAAAAATATATATTGTGTGTATATACATATATAAAATATCTTTGTAACTGTTCCATTAAACTGTGGAAGTCTCAAGGTAGCTAGGAACTCATCCTGGGACATGTGCCCTAAGTGCATCACACCTGTAGCTGGTACCAAGGCTTAAGATGCCCTTTCCTGAAGCCATAGAAAGATCCGGTTCTACATCTGTTACTCAGTCAAGAATAAGACATTCATAGAATCACAGAGCCATAGAATGGTTTGGATTGGAAGGGACCTTAAGCTCATCCAGTTTCAACCCCTTGCTGCGGGCAGGGACACCTTCCACTAGACCAGCTTGCTCCAAGCCTTGTCCAACCTGGCCTTGAATATTCAGGCTCAGCTTCTTTGGTAGGATACACTCACCAAAGACTTGTGATCTGCCCTCCACCATATGCTCATTTCTGTTAATGTGAAGTCAGAACAGTGTACTTCTGGGAGGAGGATGCTCATTTCAATATCCAGCTGAAGAACTGGACCTTCTGTGCGATCCCTGAACCTTCACACTGCAACCCCTGAAGAAGTGGATCCTGTTGAGAGACCTGCCTGCTGTGGAGACCCAGGAAGCCTCCTCCTAGGAGCTGACACCAGCATTGCTCGAGTCTGGAAGCTGCTTGGGCGCAATGCGAGCCAAGCCCACGCTAGGAGATACGAGGGGCTGTCTTTCTGGTGGCAACAGTATCTCTCTGCTCATATGTAAGTAAAGGAAATGGCAGCCTTTAAATAACGAATTTTCACTGATGCCTTTTGCTATTTTTACAACGCATTTTAAAATAAATGAGAGATTAACACAGAGAAAAGTACTTCAGGTGCATGCTCAGTAACTATTTTTTCATAATGTTTTAATGGATTCAGGGTTGAGCTCCACTAAAATCTGGATTTATTAGAAACGCTCCATGCATTTCAATGGAGTTTTTCTCATGAATCTGGATATTTTACATTATTTCAATAGAGCTGACCCTCTGATTCATTAGAAATGCTCCCATATAACCCATGGAGCATTTCTAATGATTCCGGTTTTACAGCAAATCCAAGGGTCAGCTGCACTGAAAACAATAGTGCTAACCCCTCGGTTTATTAGAAAAATGCTTTCTGTCTCAGTGGAGCATTTCTAATAAATCACATAAATAGGGATCTCCCACAAAAACGCTCCACCGGTGAAACAGGCAAATGGATTTGTTGTTATTGAGATCTTTGAAGAACAAAGATTGTTTAACAGACTTCTTTTGCTTCTTTTGCTCCTCTTTCTTGTGTCATCCCTCTTACCTAGAGTTTAGGTCTTCACCATTAAAAACTTAGTAACTATACCTCATCATGATGGAGGAGCTGTAGTTGCCAGATTGGAGTTCAGGGGTTTGGTGCTGTTGGCTGCAATGGTTCCTTTCACACCCTGCTCACTCAGCTTCTGCTACAGAAATGGGGGGGGGGGGGGGGGGGAGAAAGGGTAAGTGTTAAAACAGCTCAGCAGTGGGTATCACCATTGATCCACTACATCATGCACATGATGTAGTGCACATGAAATTTATCTGCAGCAGATGACACTGAGATGTTTTGAGATGTTTATGCTAGCTTTTTAGTCAAAGTTCTTTGAATTTCACCCGCAAATAATGTCATGAAATGCATGGGGCATCATGCCAGGGCACAAGGATGATAAAACTAACTCACACATACCATCCCGATAGGCCTCTCTCCACTCACCACACTGTTATGTCATGAAGAAGTTACAACTTCTGGGCTGAACCTGTGGAGACCCGTCAACATCTTTGGATGCTCCTCCACTGGAACAGTTCTCCTCATGTCTGTGCCTGTGGATAACTGAGTGTCTGTACATACACGGATGCACAGGCTCTTTGGAGGCTGTCGGGAGTGTGGCTGTGTTGGAAGAGCTTCAGCAGGAGGAGGTTCTGCATGGGGGTGCTGGCGGGAGCAGCAATCACAGGCGTGCACTGATGAACTCATGTGTTGATCCAGTCCAGGAGGGATAAATGCCTGTGCTGTGAAATGCAAAAAAAGCCTTGGTAATCTGAGACAAAGCTTTCTGTTTAACAGAAAAGGCCAATGAGATAATTTCAATGACTCAAGATTTAGTTAGAATGTTCCATATTTATTGAGAATATTCTGTACTGTCCAGACATTTCCCTGCAGTTCGAATACCCTACATAAAGCACAGTTGCTGCTTTTGGATTCCCTGTTCTCTCTGTGTGAATTGCTAATCCTCGGCTAAAAGCCAGTTAGTCTCAGTTTGACCAGTGTTCCTCAGTCTCAGGTTGGCCAGTGCTCCTTAGTCCCAGTTTGACCAGTGTTCCTTAGTCCCAGTTTGACCAGTGTTCCTTAGTCCCAGTTTGACCAGTGTTCCTTAGTCTCAGTTTGACCAGTATTCCACCCCTCTTCCCTCCACTTCCCAACAACTCCAAGAAATCTGCTGACTGGTTACTCTGAAAACCTGAAAATAAGCCATGCTGAAGTGGTGACAAATTCCCTAAACCAGAAACTCCACTTTAAAATGATTGGTGTGTCTGAGTGGGTCTCTTTTTTCCTTTGTTTTTTATCAAGTTAGATGGTTTTACCCAGCAGGGAAAACTGAGAAATCCAGAATGGAGTCATATTAAAACAAAAAGAATATTAGCTACAGGATGCTGGATGTCTGCCCACCTGCCTGGTGCTCAATACAGCGTTGTTTCTTTGCCTGAGTATGGGAAGACGCTGAACCTGTCTGCTTAAGTTACTGAGAATCCTTCATGAGGGTTGGATGTGTGTGACCACCAGTGATTACTGTGTTGTGAGGTTTCTCCCATGCACAGGTTCATGCTGCCAGCTCGGTTGTCCTCTAAATGATAAGCAAGTTCTTTAGCAAAAATTGGAGGTCAGGGTGGGAGCCTGCTTGGTCAGGGGGATTACAGCAAAACAGCAATGGGATTTCAAGGCTTTTCCTACCCGGAGGGACTGGCAATATCACCACCAGGCAACCTCCCCCCTACCCACTCAAATGAGATACAGCAGTTTATCATGTCAAGCCTTGCTGCTGAGCGCTGTGTCTAGGGCCTCTGGCTGTCAGAGGCAGGATTTCATCTTGGGGTCCCTAAGGCCATATAGAAAGCCTAAAATGTTCATTTATGTTTCTTATTGTCTGGCCAAATCTGTGTGTGCTTAAAAAATATCCAGAAGTTTAAAGGCTAATCCCTGATTATTGTGGTTTAGGAATTTAATTGGCATTATAAAAAGTTAAATACATTTATAGTTATAAGCAGCAATGTCTTTGTCAGCTCTTAGTTACTCGATATAAACTGTTTATATACAAAATGTTTCCTTCTGTGATGTTACTTTCGGAGCTCAATCTCTCATTACTGTTTTGCAAAGCAGCTGCATTAAAGATAAATATCACTATAAGGGTCTAATTCATAGAGGTATCTGTAAAGATGGATGTGCAGTGCACGAGTACTTACACATAGGGGAATTTGCACCTTGGTTTATCAGGATTTGTGATATGTTTGTGATCACAGATGCTGCGGACAGTATTCCTGTAATCATCACCGTGTTTCTAACATATAGATTTATGTGCTTTATGTATATCTGCAGTGTATCTCTGTAGCCATAACTTAATCTGCTGTTCAGAATTTATTTCAGCTTTCCACATGAGCTCTTTTAAACCACGTTAATTGTTGCAGAACCCAAATCGTTGATGATAACTCTTTTAGGAATTGTCATGTTGTCTATAAATATTTAGCGACTGGATTGTATTTGCCAGTGTATTCCTGTATTACAGATGAAAAGGTAGCATCTGCTGAAATTAAAAGTGGCCACATTTTCGCTGTAGCTTAATTAAATGCCAAAATTTATCTACATTAACAACAAAGTGCTGAAATTTATTGATCAATTCACATGATATAAGTTGACAAATGGCCCGAGCAATTTCCATAATTTTCTACACGTGTTAAAATTTGTAATGCAAAAAAAAAAAGAAGAAGAATACTATATTAACATGAAATGTGAAATGAAAGGGGGGTTCTGTAATGGGAGCGGGTGCCCCGGGGCAGTAAGCTGTGTTTTCCGTGCCCTGTCCAGGCGGAGGCTGTTTGAGCTGTGTACAGATGGGCCTTTGACAGTCCTACAGCTGTTCTCCTAATTGTCCATTAAGTGTTCTATTGATTCTCTGATTCAAAGTACATGTCTTTCAGCTCAAGCTATCGTGTGAAGTGGCAGACACATTCCTCCTAGAATGACAGAGCTGCTTGAAACCTAAAAATGTGGGCTGCCAGTTTCAATTGAGGATCCCGCTTTCAAAGGGGAAGGCTTGGTTAAAGGAGCTTTGTAATAGCTGGTTAGATTTTAGTTTCTAAACTTTTAGCATCAATCAATTAAAGCAGCAGCAGCACGAGAAGTTTTAATTCCTTGGTAAGCATTACGGATCCCGCCTGCCTGATAAAGCCCTGCCCGAGGATCCCGGGTGGTGATAGTGAGGATTAGATCTTGTTTAGCTGTATGCAGACTTTTATCCTCAGACCCCTTTGACGTGTGTAATGATATTCTCATTTGACTTGCAAGTTCACTTGCAGCATCTTTTTAAAGGAAGATCATCTGCAATTCTGGATTATGCCAGTCAGAAGCCTGTTTAAAATCATCTTCCTTTAATCTGAAGGGTGAAAGATAAGATGCGTATCTGTTGCAAGGACCATAAATCTTCAAAGAAACAAATAGCCACAGATAAAACTGTAAAAGTTATTTAGTTCGCTTCTGAAAGAGGTTTATTAATCTGAAATTTCCAGTCCATTGTGTCATGATTTGGTTATCGCACTGTATCTCATTTCTTGCAATTGTATAAGCCTTGTGTATCAAGCAAAGAGGTGAGAGCCTCATAGCTTAAACTCGATCAGTTGTATTCAGATATATCACTAGAGCTAGGGGGAAAAGAATTGAAATATAAAAAATAGCCAGCTGAGCAGAGATTTGGACTGCGCATGGATTTCTGTTCAGGTTTCCTCTTATTTTAGTGAGATGTGTGTGAAGTGATTTTATTATTAAATTGAAAGTGGATTTTAGATCCCTGTTTGTCTTTTTAAAGCATAATTCCTGGTAGGAAGAGCACAAACAAACTGATTATAGACTTACAACTCGGGCACCATCCGCAGTAGCTGTGCACAAAATGAGCTTTCCCCCATATGCCACCACATCTATCTGCCTTTATACTTTTCTTTTTAAAAATCCCCATCATTTAAATGAGACATGAAACTGTTTCCGATAAAGCTTAAAATAAGGAGAACTATTTCTCTTCAAGAAGATTTTTATCCTTTATAGTTAATGCAAAACCACTCTCCTGTGAACGTTTAAGATCTGCTTATTCTTTAATCATCCCTCCTTCTATCATTGCCCATGTTAGTTTTCACACCACAGCTACCTTTACATGGTTGTATTTCTGATAACCTTTACCTCCGGGTCGCTGTTGGTGGTGATTCAGTATCAGCTTCACCAACCTGGAGGCTAACAGATGACTTGGACCCATCAATCACATTAGTTACAGCCTTTTAATTTAAACAAGAAGCTTGCTGATTTGAACAGAATTAGGTTTCTTTCTTAACCTTAACCTATTTGTCTTGGGGACACTGAATTTACAAGCATCAGCAATGGTTAAGCCTGAGAAGTAAGGGCACTAAACTAGATGGGATTCCAAGAATTCACACAAAATTTGTGCTCATGTATCAAATGCAAACAAAGGAAAAAAGAGGGGAAAAGAGGAAAGAAAAAGGAAAAAAAAGAATGGTATGTAAGGGGAGGCAGCTGACATTTTATAACCACAGTTTCTCTCCTTATTCCATAAAAAAGAATAAGTGTCAAACTAAAGAAGTAGCTTAGGAAGCTGTAGAATACGTTACAAGGCACCTTGTCTCACTTTAGGAATCTTCAGTTTTGGGTTGGAGGCATGGGACCAGAGCCTAAAACCCCCTTCCACCAAAGGGACTGTAAACCACCCATTTGTTTTCACCATTCCAAGAGGAAACTGCAGAGTCTCCTTAATATAATAAACCAGCTATTGATACCTGCAAAGCGTTTTGTAAATCTACTTTGATTCCAGCACTTCCAATTACGCCGTTAGCCAGGTTTTTAAAGAGATTTTTAGAAGCTTTCGAGTGTAGACTTTTGTCTTGTTGAATGAACTTCAGCTACACTAAATTTTAAGTAAATTTGTGATGACTGAGCAATATACATTGGCTGAGCTGGAATCCAATAACCCACAGGACAAATTAATTTTCAACAAAAAGGGCAGAAACCTCAAGTGCCATGAGTCTATGGAATCTCAGTCTATCTCTCTGGAGCCATTTTTGCAAATCACTACAGCTATTCATAATCTAAATCAGTCTCCTTTAGCAGCAGAAAGATCTTTTTTCATGACAAAACAGAAGATGACATTCATTAGTGCCTAACTTGCATAAGCTACCTTAAATTTATTGGTGCTCTCATACTTATCTGGGTAAGAATTCCTTTGTCTACAGCTACAGGAAAATTCCGGACGTACTACTTAAAAATATAAATTGTCACTTTTATCAGAACTTTTGGCAGTTTACTTTATTTTAGAAGTAAAACTGGTGGTTAAGGTTTTAAGACTTCCAATGGGCGTTGTTTCAATCATGGTTAATATGCACCCAGGATGGCAATACCGATATAAGTGAGCAGTTGTACAAAAATCCAGAGAACCTGTGCTGCCTACAGCACTGGGTGCTAACTCTTCCCTGTGTTTAAGTACAACTTATGGCATTACAGGATAATCCTATGATCTATGTGTGGATTCAGGGTGGAAAGCCAAATCCTTGGCTGCTGCTGCTGGTGGATGCCTACAGAATTGTCTGGACAGTGTCTCCCTCTTCTCTGAGGGACCGTGTCTTAGCTGGAAGGTCTACCAGGTCATACCAACCCACTTGCAAATATAACCTCCTACAGAAACTGCAGTGTCTCCTTGTTGTAAAAATGCACTTTCAAGTCAGTATATAGGAAATAAAATATAAATGGATTTGCTCTAATGTGATGCAAGTGAACACTGGTCTTCAGCCACCTGTTTTATAAACTCTATTTCTTGTCTTGGGTACAGGCTGTTAATTCTTAAATGCCTTTAGCTTGATGTCTCCTACTTGGGATACAACTGCACAAAGTATTGTCACCTAAAGATTGACATACATGTCATTTGTACAAGCGCTTTTTATTTCTTCATGGAGAAAGAAATGGAATAAGCATCTGTGGCGGCATTTGTTAAAGCCTGGGTAAAGCTAAATGATCACAGAGTTGCTCTAGCCCCAGAACATACAAACATGCTTGCAATTACAGGTTCTTCACATCCCTGAAAGTGTCCAGGGATATCTGAACTACAAACGAGACAGAAAATAATGAGAATGTTAGTGGCTATGCCTGCTCTTTCTCTCTGAGTGGAATGACTCTTCATGGTAGGTCCCACACTGACAAGAAAGGATGGGAAATCTACCTGAATGGAAGCAGCAGGTATTGAGGCTTTAGAAGACATGATCTCAGTCACAACTGCTGTTATGGAGCTCTAAGAAGTAAGTTTAAAATGGCCAAAGTTCTGTTGTGCTGTTCAAAAGGTTTTCTGGATCCTGTTTCTAGTTTTCCATTTCCGTTGGTGAAAAGAGCCCTGAAAAGTAACTTCTGAACTACTTCCAGTCAAGGAAGTTCTTCTTTAAGCAGAAAATTCATAGAAATATTGTAGATTCATAATTTTGGATCTACTGCAGACTGTTATAATAGGTAAATGAGGCTAATACTGATGCAAAGGGTTAACTGATGTACAGGTTGGGTTAGGGTTAAGCTGCTTGCTTAACGATGTTACTGCTTACTCCTGCTTGCTCAACAAATGCGTGCTCAACACTTATCATGCTTGCCGGAACAGGGTGGGAGGACCAAGGCTACTGATAAGAGGAAGGAACAGGAACTCCTGTTCCCTGGACCCCTAAACCGGCTGAAATCAGCTTTGCGGTTTGGACAGGGAACATGCACAACGACTAGAGATGAAAAGTTCAGGGAAGACTCGTTTACATCATCTTGAGACTGTCGCCCATGACCACCAGGAGACACTATGCAAACAAAGACCTTTTACCTCATTATAATATGAAGCAGAGATAGGTCATGAATATGTATAGGTCTGTTGTGTAACCTCATGAATATGTAATAGCTTAGAGGATAAATATGAAGGAGAACAATGCTGAGGTGCTCATGCTTTTGGAGAAGCAATCCCCCATGCGCCTCAGCGCTGAATAAATCATACCTACTTTATAACTTTAATGAGTTGGGGAGTCTACCCACATATCGATACTTAGGTACAGAAAACTTATTAAAATTAACATTATCTTCACGTGTCTATATGTCTAGGGAATCAGGCTAAAAGAAAAAACAAAATTACTTATCAAGGATTCCTATCAGAAGCATAATATCTGATGTGTTCATTCATCAAGCACAGGTCCTGTGTCAGATGGAGTGAGAATGTTCAGATTTAGAGCTGGAAAATGTAACAGATTTTGTGGTGTAGATGGGAAAATTCTCATGACTTGTTTTGCACAGTTTTTCCCCCCGAATTTGATTAAAAGTTGAGGTGAGCTCTTATTTTGGGCCATCTTTCTTTGGAGAAACGGCAGCAGTGTAATTCTTGTTTTATGGCCTGTGCGCTGCTGCCGGCTCTGCCTCAGTGGATGACCTTGGCTAGTCATTTCCTTTCTCTAAAGTGGCAACTGGGCTATTTACTCCCTTCCCATAGGTGCTAGGAAGCTTAATTAATATCTGCTTTGAGATCCTCAAGAGGTGCTAAAGTGTTACTGTATACTAAAAACAATCTTTGTAGCTCTAAACA